TTTTATGGTTTTGATTTTAAAGAAATGGTTCATAAAATTTTTGCAGAAATTACGAATACAACTTTTTTTATTACAGGTATTTTTTATTTTTTTTATATATCAGATATTTTAATTTATCCTTTAAATGTTCAGGATTTACTATGTTATATTTTCAACTAAAATGAAATTTAAAAAACTATCGATAAAATCCTTATTTGTATCGATAAACGACAGCAATTATAACTAGAATCGCAATTTTGTCACTTTCCACAGACCTCGTGTCCCAAGTAGTCCCAAGTTCAAACCACTCATCGAGTGGAGTTGAATGAATGAATGAATGAAATATACTTTATTGTACACAACCAACGGATATTGAAGAATCAACAAAAATAATACAAAACTGTACAATAGGCGGCCTTATCGCTAAGAAGCGATTTCTTCCAGGCAACCTAGTAAAAGGAAATAGTAAAAACAGTAGCCGATGCTACTGTTTTTTACCCGATGGTAACGGTGTACACTGAATTAAAAAGAGAAACTTATAAGTCAAAATATAAATACATATTAATAAATTATACATTTTTATATTTTTTATATTATTTTCACTTTCAATTTGTTAGCCAACTAATTATTTTGGTTTTATTTTATGAAATGGCTCAATTTGGGAAATAAATAAATTATAAAAAAATTATAAAATATTAATTTTCGTGTATAAGATAAATTTTCGTTTTAGGGTGAACAATTAAATAAATTAATAAAAAAATAAATGACGTTAAAAAAATTTAATACTATAAGTTGGTTACCGATAGATTGTTCTCCAACTGTTTGAACTTTGAACAAATACAATAATATTTCGTTGTAAATGTTTATGAAAATAAAAAAATCAACGATAATTAAATGGTAATTAAGAAATATTTCCATATAAGAAAATCAACAATAAGTACAACAAAAAATTTAGGGATTTGAACCCAATCCATAAAGAATGATGGTCCTATACACTGTATGTATAGGACTGATAGACCACTCAATCACGAGATAAGACATTGAAATTATATTTTAAATAAATTAATTAACAACTGTTAATACATCCAAATAATTTATAAATACGAAATATGTGAATAAATTTTTTTTAGTTTCGTGATTTCGAAGGTCTAATAAAATTGAAACTCGCAATAATAAATAAATACGAAGCATATTTCGTAACGGTGAGCGGGCGATGAGCGGCATAGGTCCATCTAGCAAGGCGCCTCAGCGCTCTGTTCAACGTGTGGAGTTGGAAAAGAACCGAAACAAAGCCGCGGTGGCGCGGTGTTTTGGCCATTGCGTTAGAATTAATTTTAATGAGTTAAATTAATATTTACAAATATCTTACTTCAATCAACAAATTAAGACAACAGTCCTTTTTATTAATATGTTCTACACCACTAATATTAATTTCATTAAGATTTGTTAATTTATTATGTCTATTTTTTATTTATCGAGAAATATAGATTTTGTTAAAAAATCTTTTGAAAAACTTATTTTTACTGCATACAGCGCCTTAATGCCTAAAACCAAGCACTTGTAAGTTGTAATATTGCCATTTCATATAATACACATGCCGATTCGTGCAGATGACGTCACCCGTTGATGACGTAATGCCGTAATATGACTCGAACGTTTCATAATATTTTGTGAGGAATAGTAATGTAAACGATTGTTCAGTGATATCAAACATTTGTGGATTTTATCGCGATGGGAACATCGGAAGTTTCTATTTATACCAAACACGATAAGTTGCGTAAAATTATTTTCATTTAACAACATTTATTATTCGCCTAAGTATAAGAAATCATTTACAGAAATTATGATAGAATACAACTTATCAATGTCTAAAATGCTCTAAAATCAAAAAGTGAATTCAATGCTTTTTTATTTATTATATAAAGTTGCTCTTATTCTAAGGATAATATTGTCACATACACAAATTTCCCATCAGCTAACGCCCATCTGTGGGTCGCACAAATACTTTTCCCATATTGAAACCGAACTCACTACCCGCGGCTCTGAAATCTATAGCTTAGCAACTACACCAACGTCACAAAAATGTGTACATATGGATTCGCATAGTGTTCAAACTCGATCATGATCTAATTGTTTAAAAAATTCTAAGTAGGTATTTTAATTATTTATTGTTAACACTAAATATCGACAGTCACTAAATAAAAAACTAAATCTTCTGACAAACAGATTCGAAAATGGGGCTCAAATGTTTCCGTTTTAATAATATCATTCATAGTTTCATCGTCCTAAGATTATTTTAAAGTACGCAATGCTACAATCAATATGTATGAGGAGGTATAACAGCGTGTTCATTGTTTCAATTAAATCGTCGTAGTCTTACAAGTAGGTACTACTTACAAGTACTGTACAGTACTTGTCGGTGTTTATTCCTATAATACATATTGAGTCATCGCATGTGAGTTGTGACAAAGTATCTTTATATTGTGTTGAACCTGTCTGATTTATTTTTGATATGATGTAGTATTACACTTTTCAAGCTTATGATAACGATCATATGAAGGTGTGATATGAGCGAGGAATGTTTAGATGGTTTAACTGCATGGAGAAAGGACTCTTAAATCTTCTTCTTGGTTGTGCACGATACAAACAAGTCTAGTATGAAGGTTCTCAGGTTTATTTTATTTTAGTGATATGTCAGTTATATTTGGATTATGCATGAATAAAAAAAAGGCCGAGTGCGAGTCTCCGCGCACGAAGGGTTCCGTACTATTATCTATAAAAACTGCATAATCATGTCTGTTGTATGGGAGCCCCACTTAAATATTCTTTATTCTGTTTTAATATTTGTTTGTTATAGCGGCAACAGAAATACATCATCTGTGTGAAAATTTCAACTTTGTAACTACGACAGACAGATAGACAGACAGACAGACAGGGGAGTTTTAGTAATAGAGCCCCGTTTTACACTTTGAAAAAAAAAAAAATTAAAATGATCATGTTAATCTAATAATTCTAATACATAAACAATCTTTTTAGAAAAGGTTCATAATCGTATTAGTGAATACGTTTAGATCGTCTCTTATCGCTGACGTAACCGGGCCGATTATTACCACTTTCTGGTGAGCGAAGAACTATGAGAACTCCTCTCTTACGCTATTCTTTTTTCAAATTAGCGATTCTTTTCTACTCTCGGCAACAGCATAGGGTGACGTATCTAGTACACAATGACACTTCGAAGCCATTTCTTCTTTATTCTTTCTTTCTTTATTCTTTATTGTACAAAAAAATCACAGTTACAAATGAAGGATTAAAAAGAAGGACTGTACAAAGGCGCTCAATCCAAAGCACGAGTTCTCTACCAGCAAAATCTGTCTTATTTTCTTTGTTGTTGTTCTTTTGACTATTTACGTGATTTCAATTTTATGTAAACTTAAAAAAAAACAAAACTGTATGATTCCCTTTTAATTTAAACGCACGTGCTACATAGATAGTTAAAAAGAAAGTTTTGAGTTTTTTTTTTTGAGAATGAATAGATACTTCATCTTGATTCTAAGTGGTTACGAAGTCCATGGGCACCAACTTCTCTTAGAACTGCCAAGTAATTCGTTGTTTCTACAGTTTCTTTTACGCCGTTTTCAATAACGATTATCGCGTCGCGTCTGTGGTTGCGATCTAACGAATAATCGTTATCGTAAATCTGGCATTATCTACCGTTTTAACACACACGGCGTTTCCGTGTTTGACATTGTTTTTTCGTCGCGAACTCGACGCGATACGTTATCTGCAATTACGTTAAAGCCGATTGTCCAACTGCTTGCGTGATACGGCTTACATAATTGTATGTTACCAAGCTTGATGATCAAATCTTGCTCGGTCGTTTTATACATGGATGCCGTCATTGTTTTATATAACAACTAGCGGACCCAACAGGTAACCTTTCGTAAAATCCGTACTTAGCTGACCTCTACTCGGCGAAAGGAATATTCCTACCAAATTTCAAGTCTCTACGCCTTATGGTTCCAGAGATATCGTGATGAGTCAATTATCGGTGGAAATCTCATATATATATATATATATATATATACATATAAATTACGTAGTGTTTGGGTAGCAATGCTGTTATTCTTTTGTTTTTGGCGCATTCCCAGTGGTGAATAAAACAGTAACACTTTACAAGGTGCTACAGTTACGCTACAGTGTTTACACATTGAATGCTACGAGTAACTACCGGACTACCCGTACCATCCAATTTTTAGTCTTACCGTAGACCCGCGGTGACCAAGCTTTGAACTGGTTCCACCGGAACTTTTTAATTTGTTAATTGTGAAGTTATCATATTCACTCTCCATTATTCGACAATATATCACACAATAACGGTGTTTAACGGTGGTAGGGCCTCGCAACAGCCTCGGCTGTTGCACGAATGGGCAGGCCCGTCCGGGTAAGTACCACGACCTCACAGAAGACCAGCGTAAAGTGGAAGTATGACAAATACTTTCGCGTTTCGTCTGGTGAGTGAGGTAGCCGGAGCCCAATTTTTAAAAGGTTGTCAACGCATCTGTAACCCTCGGGTGTAGCAGATGTCCATGGGCGGCGGTATTCACTTACCATCAGGTGAACCGTCTGCTCGTTTGGCAACTTTTCACATAAAAAAAAAAAAAAAAGTAAATAGCGTACAAACTAAAAGTAACTGTATGTCTTTGCGTTTCGTTTTGGTTAGCTAGTAAACCGTTTCCAACCTCTTTGAATAAAAACATAAGGGCCGAGTCGGACTCGTACACGAAAGGTTTCGTACCGTCTATAAAAATGGCAAAAAAATCATGTCTGTTGTATTGTGGGAGCCCCACTTAATTTTTTTTATTCTGTTTATTGTTATAGCCGCAACAGAAATACATCGTCTGTGAAAATTACAACTGTCTGAGTGTCAAGTCAAAATGCCGTGTGTAGACGGCATTTTGACTTGTCCGCTATTGTTTATAATAAGGGCGATTTTAAAGTGAAGATGATGACCTACCTTTCAGTATTCACCGCGCTACGCACGGAGTTCATCGAGAACGTAATACTCGCGTACAATCCGGACATTCCTTACAAGGAGGGCCCGCTCGACGACTCCAATCTGAAGAGCGCCTTCACCAAAGCCTCCCCCATCTCACTCGGCAGCAATGTTGGTAAGCCTTTCCTACGTTTTTGTCGACTATTCGAAATATAAATTCTGTTGTGAGACATCAGGCGGACCGTCTGACCGCTTGACAACTTTTCCAATAAATATTTACACAAAAAAAATTGAACAAAAAACAATGTTTCCAGTTCGGATGTCCAGCACCGAAGTGGAGGCGGATAGCGAAGCGGACGCAAGGAAGTGCGAAGCGATACTTCCTGGCATCAAAGTGCTGTGGGCGGTGCTCGAAGATTACGTGAAAGAAGGTAGGCATCGCTTCGGCGTGCTTAACCAGTAAATCTTTACCAATACAGACGCGAAGGTTTTTATGTATGCACGACGTCGTTTGTGTGTTTTTTTAATGGAGAAAAGGGTCAAAAGAGCAGGAGGCTCACCTGATGGTAAGTGATTACCGCCGCCCATGTACATGCGTACGTTTGTTACACTTTTCCGAAGAAACTATTGAACGGATTTACAGAAACTTTACCATAATATACATTATACACCAGACTATGGATGCTAGGTAACTGATATGAATACTTAAACATACATATTATAGACATATGAATACCCAGACCATAGAAACACTATGTTTCAAGTATTTGGGATCGAACCCACACCCTCTGGCGTAGGAGACAGGTCACACAGTTAAAGTCCTGCGCGTAGTACCCAAGCTTTGTTTTTGACGGATGACCATCGGATCATCCACCGTTGGCCTCCCAGTCCCTGTAATGTTATCCCACACTAAAAAACCGGCCAAACGAGGGTCAGGCTCGCGCACGAAGGGTTCCCGTACCATTACCTATAAAAACGGCAAAAAATCATGTCTTCTGTATCGGAGCCCCACTTGCATACTTTTTTATTCTGTCTTTTATACATCATTTGTGAAAACTTCAACTGTTTAACTATGACAGTTCATGAGATACAGCCTGGTGACGGACGAACAGACAGTCAGACAGCGGAGTCTTACCAATAGGGTCCCTTTTTACCCTTAAGGTATGGAACCCTAAGAACGGCAAATAAACCATGATACGCTCTGTGCGGAGGCCTCACTTAAATTATTATTTTATTTTTTGTTATATTTGCGTAAATTTCCACTGTCCAACTATCACAGACGGACAGAAAGTCAGCGGAGTCTTATTAATGGGATCCCGTTTCACCCGTTGGGTGCGGAGCCCTAAATAGCACTGGCGCTGTAAAATAAATTTCCTCCGCCAGGTCGCAGTCGGCGGAGTCTTACTAATGGGGTCCCGTTTCACCCGTTGGGTGCGGAACCCTAAAAAGTACTATAAAAATAAATTCCCTCCGCCAGGTCGCGTGCAGCAGCTGGGCGTGGCGGACGTGGGCGGCGGCTGCCTGAGGCGGCTGCACGCGTGGGCGCGCGTCCGCCCCGCCATCGCCCAGATCAACCTGGCCTCGTGCTGCGTGGTGCCCCCCTCGCTGCACGCGTTCTGCCGCGCCAACGACGTGCAGCTGCTCACGCACGCCGACCCGCCAGGTGCGAATGAATGAACGAACGAGTGAATGAGTGAATGGTGAATGAATGAGTGAGTGAATGGATGAATGAATACACTTTTTCTTTTCAAAACATTGCCCTTACTTTAGGACATCGTTATGCTGTGTTGTAAGGCCGTTTTACAAAAATAAATTTCACGTGCACAAACAAACGGATGCGAAACAACTATCCGTGGGGTCACACAAACAGTTGTCACGTGTGGGAATCGAACAAACGACCCTGGAAGCCGATACCTTCGCAACTGCGCCACGGAGTCCTCACAAGGTTCTCTTTTTAATATATAATTTAGATCGTCTAACATATTATTCACTACTCGGGGCTGTCTATGGCTTGTCCCACGTGATTCACAGCGGCGTCTTATCAACCGACTTCGAAAGAAGGAGTTTCTCAACTTGACTGTATTTTTTAAGTAATCAAAGGTCTTTATGCTCCCGTTTCTGTACACAGTCGATAACTAATATCATGAATAATAATACGTACCTATATTTACAAAATAATTAAAAAAATCCGATTGTCTATCTGTCCCTATGTATGCTTAGATCTTTAAAACTACGCAACGGATCTTGATGCGGTTTTTTTTACTAAATTGTTTTGTAATGTACCTAGTTTATGTAATTATATTGTACTTATTTAATGTGACCTCACCCTTAACGCAACTCGCATAGTGATGTTTTATACCTTCATCTACCCTCAAAGTAATGTAACTTCTTTTGTCTTGTGCTTTTGACTTCCACAATGCTTCAGAGGTTAAAATGAATTACGTATCGTGTGTTGTAACTTGTATCTCATTTTATTGAAACTTTGTGTTTTTATGAGAATATATTCTTAAACCTAGATAGAGTGATTCAAGAGGAAGGTTTATGTGTATAATACATTGCACCCGTGCGAAGCCGGGGCGGCTCGCTAGTAATGTATAAATTGAAATCGATCACAAGAAATTGACGAACAAGAATATGACGACCCGAATGGCGTTGTGGGTAGTGTACCTGCCTCCTGCGCCACAGGGTGTGGGTTCGATCCCCACTACTGGAAAAATATTGTGTGATGAACATGGTGTTTTTCTAGTGTCTGGGTGTTTATATATGTATAATATGTATCTATTTACAAAAGAAAAATATGTTTAAGTATATTTATCAGTTTTCTAGTACCCATAGTACAAGCTTTGCTTAGTTTGGGACTGGAAAATGTGTAAAAATGTGTCCTAAAATAAAAAAAAAATTAAAAAAAAAAATTGCACAAACCTCCAGATCTATTGTCCCTGGCGGCGGTGAAGACGCTGTCGGACGCGGGCGTCGGCTGCAACAGCCTGGAGTGGTGCGCGAGGTACCAGGTTCACATAAAGTGCCGGGGCGTGCTCGCCCTAAAGGGCTACGTGTGCAAAGCGACGCTCGGCAGAAGCGCCGAGAACAAATAGCCGGAACACTCGGAGGCAACTCACCCAGAAGGAGGCGGAAGGAGCGAACTCTGTGATAGCAACCGACTCATACCATGTGATATGCTTACGCTGTGCAGGTAACGAACAGTGGATGAACATCTCACCGAAGGGGTCGTCCATTAATCGCGTAAAAAGGGTGCGACATAAAGTTGCATTGTACTTATCTGCAGTTGAAGATAATCTAACGCCCGGTTTATGAAACACTGATCAGCGTAGCATGTCAACTAATCAGCTGTCAAATGGCTTTTCAAATGTCTTAGTTGCCAAAAGGATGGTTAAACTTTTTGAATTGATCATTCTGATCATTAAGAAGATCTTTCTTGTCAATTCAGAGAGTTTAACCATGTTTTTGACAACTAAATGAAATTTGAAAAGCGACTTGACACCTGATTACTTGACATCATCATTAGTTAACATGATCAGTGTTTCAGAAACCGGGAGCAAATTGTATAAGGTACTTAATTAATGAGATTGTGGCTTCGAAAGAGGGGGTTAGTCTTTAACCTCGCCAAGTATCATCAAGGGGAGGGGATGTTACACGTTGTGATTAATGGACGACCCCATTTATACAATTTTATGTATTGTCTCATTGATTACTGTTCTATTTTCTTTACCGATGTATTAAGAAGCTTATGTAATATCGCTGAAAGCTGTTTAAATATTTTGAATATTATGAAAACTCCACTACTATTTTGGGTTTAGATTGAAAAGCCATCTTAGTAATGATATTTCTGCATTAAATCCTATAACATCTTTTGGTTTATGTTTTACTATGTTGTACTAGAAGTTGCAAGGTACGACTTTTCAATCCTAAATGAGTAAGATACTTAGTTCAATACCGGTGATAGCATTTGTCACAATATTTAACCCATTAGTAAGGCTACGTAAAAATTTGTGGCATTTAAAAAATGAAAGTCGATAAAAATAATAAGTTACCTTTTATGACTTTTTACAATGAGGCATGATTGCATTCAATGACAAATATGATTTTAGTGGCAACAAACTAGAGCAATTGTTGTGCCATGGAATTACAGTTACACACTACATTACACATTGTATATATTTGTTTCAATTGCCACATTTTGCAAAAAAAAATTTGATCTATTTTCTTGTGCAAGAAGATCATTAAGGTTATAAGAGCACTAAACCAGTTTTTATAAACGATAATATTTAATAAAATCTGATCAACCGGTTAAAAAGGGGAAATTTCTTGAAATTTTATTTTTTATTATATATGGTCAAGAAGCGTTTATCTGAACTTAATTGTGATAGTTTTTGATAATAATTCAAATTTAAGTGAATATAATGCGTGAATAATATCAAAATAAAAAAGTGTTTTTTTTTATATGCAAAACATGAAATAAGGACAAATGAACATGTATTTGAATGTATTGCAAGGAATGTACTTACCAACTTTTTTTAGTTATTCATAACTAATATAGAAATAAAAATGGTATCTATTCAGTATATTGTACAACTGATAGCTAGCGACCGAGTGCCCATATTTTACAATTGAAAACATTTGTGTTTTATTTTTAGACAACAGTTATAAATATAGTGACTGACAAAAAAAAAATTATTACACTATGTAATAATGTAATATTAAAAAAAACGTGAAAGTTTGATAAATATCTCTTTTATAACATTGTTTATAACACTTTTATAACAAAAATATAATTTATAATATTAGTATAGCAAACATTACTGTCACTAAGTTTGCAAAATTTATTTGAAACTATGGTTTCAAGTTTAAATGAATGATTAAAATATATTATTATAAACATGTGTTTCAAAAACATTTTGGTAATCTCATTAAGTAAAACATATTTGTTTGTAAAAAAAATAACATAGTGATTTAATATTCGTATTCGACATTCCTATCGCTCCTAATACATTGCTTGATATTGTTATATTACTTTGTATGTATTTATATAACTTATACTTTGTTAAAATTACATCGTTTGTTGTAGTTACCATTAAAAGTATTTTCTACCGTTGACCTACCATGATGGGTTTTAAAATTATATTATTTATCAACCTTTTCTTGTTATTTTCCCTTATTCTTTATATACACGATTATTTAGTGGGCGTGTATGTCACTGAACTCCTAAACCGATTTAAATGATTTTTGTGTGTTCAGGTTGATTCGAGAATGGTTTAAATTCACAATTCGGTCCACTACAATTTTTTCTTTTTTTTTTTAATTTATAAGTTGTTGGGTTTCAGTCGTATGTACAGGACGTCTGTCGGGTCCTCTGATATTTTTAATTTTTGTTGTCTATAGAATCTTAACGTTTCCTCAGTATAATGTCAATTTGGTTATAAGCATACCTAATGATGGTGTACCTGGCACTGGATTCTGGATAGTATGAACAAGCTAAGATGTTAAACATGTTCAAGGCGGAATTCATCTTTTCATGGGCGATGGCCTGATTGTTTAGAAGATAAATGCCGAAAGGGTTGAATAAGGACTGGTCAACTGAAGTCTAGGAGGTAATAAAGGATATAGCAGAAGCAGAAATATATACCTGCCTAATTGTTAGAGACATGTTATAAAACATAGCTTTTACTGACTTATAGAACTATATCTCAACAATGACTCAATAATTGGATAACAATAATGCTTAGCTTTTCCAACAACATAGATTATTAAAGACGAGTTATAAAACATACCTTTTACTGATTTATACAACTGTAAATTAACGATGACTCAATAAATGGATAACAATAGTACTTAATTTTTCCAACAGAGCAACAGCCTTAACTACAAATAATCAAAAACTAACCCGCGTACGTTGTGAGACTTGAATTTATACCCCTCAAAAACAAATACCGACCACCCCCCATTCGAGGGTATAGGAAATATCACGACCCAATAGGTATCAAATCAACAACTTTTAAATAAGTCACAACAAACTGTACTACTACATTATTGATAAATTACTAAATAGATTAAATATGTGCCATAATTTTAACACTTGCGCCAAAGGGTGTGGGCTCGATCCCCACTACTGGAAAAATGTGTGAAAAGTGTTTTTCCATTGTGGTTGTTTATATATGTACAGCTAATACAGCCGATAATAATATGTATTTATTTATTTACAAAAGAAAAGTATGTAAGTATATTTATCAGTTATCTAGTACCCATATAGTACAAGCGTTGCTTAGTTTGAGGCTTTAGTAAAAATGGCTAATAGGTTATTTTATGCATCAACTTCACATACTTGATTATGTTGTCCTTAGATTTTAACGAGGCTATTGTCAAATGGAATGGCGATGTCGACCAATAATGTCCTTTAATTTCTGATCCATCGATATAAGGCTCGCGATCATTCCATGCGTTATGATTGGTCTATCCAAATAGAGCGTGTTATGTTCACAACGAGGAGGATTTTGGCCTGAACTTGCTAAGCTCCGCTCTGGTAGACCCTATTTAAGAGCGAGGTCTTGACGGCGAAACTGGCATTTAGATTGTTTGTGCAGATAGCGTTGGAAAGGGCCGAGTAAACGAAAATGACGAATTTTTGACGAAAAAGTGACAAACGAGCTGGCGGTTCACCCGGCCCCGGCTACCTCACTCACCAGACGAAACGCAGAAGTGTAACACCTACTTTACGCCGGTCTTCTGCGAGGTCGTCGTGATTACCCGGACGGACCTGCCCATTCGTGCAACAGTGAAAACTGTTGGGTGGCCCTACCACAGTTTATGCGTATCCCCAGGATGACGACACTCTCGCCTAATATGTACGGCGCCATCCTTTAGGATGTACGAGGAAGGGGCAGAAGGTTCACGGGTTACATATTTTTACCTAGTTATTAAGCTCAGACAGGATAAAATAAATAAAATACAAAGTTTCGTAACAATCAGCTCATTATTCAGTGAGATACACATACCATCCATTGAGGTGTAAACATGGTGTACAAGTGGCATAACCTTTTCAATCATAGATTCGATGGTAGATGACAAGAGGCCCAGGATTGTTTAATAGACAGTAGACGTCGAAAAGCTTGTAAAAAGTATATTAAAAGTCCCCCGTTTGGAAAAGTACCAGTTTGCAGAAATGATTGATTTGTCTTTTTTATTTACTACAGTGGTACTTCACTTACCCAGTGCATAGGCGTATATAGCGGGGGGGCCGGGTGGGCCGTGCCCACCCCAGGATTTTGGGTTACCGATTCGAAATTCTAAGCTGGACACCTATTCTTCATCGCCAAGAGCAGATTGAAGACGAGCGAGGCGAGCAAGTTCAATGTAGATATTGAATTTCTCGAAATTTATCTACTATAGTATGCATATATACTTTTATTTATTTCTTCTTTAAAAACATTGCCTTACTTTAGGATAGTTTATTATCCTGTGTTGTAAAGACGTTTTACAAACATAAATTGCACGAGGACAAACATCCAGATGCGAAACAACTATCTGTGGGTCGCACAAATAGTTGTCCCGAGTGGGAATCGAACCCACGACTTCCGACGCCGAAGCCAACTTTGCAACATGCCTTGACAACTGCGCCACGGAGTCATCAGTAAACATGTAAACCTTCCACTTGAATAATATCTATTCCTGAAAATGGCATTAAAATTCGTTGCGTTGTTTAACAGGTCTACAGTGTTCGATATTTTTTGTAGTAAGGGCCCAGGCCCACCCTGAAAAGTAGCCCTAGATACGCCAATGACCCAGTGTCTCAGATATCCAGCTATGAATAAATATCTGCCTCATTTACAGAGGGTTCTGGATATTCTGATAAACGTACACGTTTTAGTTTTCCTTCAGAACACTGTGATTGAACTCTATCTTTATTCTGAATTATTCTACAAAGAGTAGATTTTGGCACATTAAATTCGACACTTCATCGCGTGACTTCCCACTTTCACAAACGGATATTAACTGCACTTTTCACGTACTGAGTTTTCGTTTCGACATTTTTCAAATACACATCCTTATGATGTAAAGCAAAACTAAAACTGAAGGT